TCTACGTGGTCTGATTCGGCGCCACGCTCTCCACGAACGCCCTGATCTCCGCGACGAGCTTGCCGGTCTCAGGCAGCGCCGGGAAGAAGTAGAAGGCGTGTACAGCCTCCGTGAACTCCATCGCCGGCGGGAACGCCTCGGGCAGCTCCGGCTCCGGGCCGGCCTCGCCCGTCACGTGCGCGGCCGGGTGGTTCCGGTCGGCGCCCTCCGGCAAGAACGCCTTCCACCAGAAGTCGGACCGACGGAGGTTGACGATCGGGGCCACGCCCTCCAGTGCTTGCTCCGACTCGGTCCGGTCCTCTCCGCCGAAGTAGGCGGACAGGAGCAGGAGGCCGGCGAGGTGGATGGCTGGAGGCGTTGTCGCCGGTGCCGCCGTCCAGCACTGGGCCACGTGGTGCGCGATGTTGGCGCCGGCGCTGTCGCCGGCGAGGAAGCAGCGGGAGAGGTCCACGCGGACGGGGACCTCAGCGGGCAGGCCGGTGGTGGCGAGGTACCGGAGGGTGGCCTCCCCGTCGTCGTAGGCCGCGGGGTAGCGGTGCTCGGGCGCGAGGCGGTAGGTCACGGATACGACGACGGCGCCCGTCTCGCGGCACATGGTGCGGCAGAGCGCGTCGTACGGCCGGGTGGCCGCGGAGAATACCGTGAAGCCGCCGCCGTGGAAGTACACGATCACCGCCCGAGGCGACGCGTCCGCGTCCGCGTCCGCCCCCGCCCCCGCCGCGAAGTAGACGCGCGCACGCACGCCGGTGGACGCGTCGACGGTGACGTCCACTGAGCGGACCCCTCCGGCGTCCGCGCGCGCGGGGTTGGCGGGCGCCTGGCGGTCCACGAGCAGCGAGAAGAGGAAGCGGTTGACCGTGCCGTCCCGGCGCTGCGTGGCGTCGACGGCGGCCTCGAACGCGCGCAGCTGGAGCCGCACCGCCCACGGCATCGCCCCCACGCGCGCCTGGAGCTCCTTGCGCGCGACGTCGCCGGCCATTTTCTCCGTTGCGCTGGGTGGCTAGCTCGGTGGCCTCTGCCTTTATCGATTTTTCTGCCGGTGTTTGTGTCACTACAGTGACAAAGACAACGTCCGTGTCATGCAGCGACTAGCAGGTCCCAGATGGCCAAACACCGCAGTGGCATTGCCTCTGCTACTACTCCTAGCTGCTAGCTCGCTCGCTGGACCCTCCTTATCTTCTCTCGGATTGTCCAGCCGGCAGTGCGAGCGACCCGCAGGTCGCAGATGGCCAGACACTACGAGGGGGCATGTACGGATGTGGTAGCAATGGCGAGATCGGCCGAACGCGACGGTAGGTGCGGGTTCAGGGTCACGTACGTGTACGTATCGTTTTGGTGATCTTTCTTCGCTCGTACTTACATGATTGGTGACCGGTGAGGCTGCCATCGCCATGGTCCCGTGGAGAAGAAGACGTGTGTGGGCACAGCTAGCAATCGAGGACAATGTGTAACACGGTACTCCTAGATGGAGATATTTCGACGGGGTACAGCTGCCAACAACAACGCACGTGCTCGTGCCGCGCAAGTCATAGTGCACCGCCGTGAGCAGTTACTTAGCAGCTGGGGTGTCAAACATGAAGTTGTGTG